AAACCTGAATATTATTGAACAGAAAATGAAACATAAAAATGCTAACATATTTATCTCTAATATGAATATTTATCTCTAAAGTAAAGATAAATTCCTTAAGCATGTTAGCAAAGAGTACAGCAATATTTAACTAATAGAATGTACCAAGGAGATGGTATAACTTCCAAAAATAAAAAGAATTTCACATTCTGTGCTATTTTGTGTTAAGATATAAAATTGTATATAGTAGCTTTAACTATAAGGTCACAAAAGAATTACATTATTAACAATAAAATACTAGCCTGAAATCATCTGGTGGTTCTTAAACTATTGGAAATTCATTTCATAGGCTTATGAGGGAAACTCAGTAGAGGTTTTGGCAATTGAGCAGATGTTACTGGAATGGAAAAAAAAAAAAGAGTAGTGAAGTATGCTCACTAATTGAGAAAATCCTACAAATAAAGCCCAGACATTCATATCTCCTTTTACTTTAGTCAGTCTTTAAATAATTGCAATGAGTCTGTAAGTTCTAGGCAGACTTGCTGCTTATGCATCATTAAAATCAAACTTCTGCCAGTGTATTAACTTGTCTATATATTCACATAGTTAGCGCCTCATCAATTTATGCTATTCTGGTACTTCCTTGCATCTTCCAATCTCACATCCAACATTGCAAAAAGCAGTTACTATCTCCTCATAAAATTCTGCTGTCCTTCAACTTCTGCTATTTTTCTTGTATGAACATCAGATTTTAAAAAGAAGAGGAGAAATACTGGGCAGACCAATGAGTGTTCAAGATATTATGTAAAATATGGGGCAACCCAGAAAACGGAGGCACTTTGCTCAGTCGGACCAGATCCATCTTCCGGGGCCCTTCTAAGGCCCATTTAATTGCTGGGGTTTCCACGCTGGCATCTCTGACTGGGGGTCTGGGGTCCAGTCCCCAGCCATGACTCCATCAGCCGGGAGGTGCTGCTGCGAGAGAAGATTCCTGCTTGGCTGTGGTTTATTTTGAATTTAATTTTTAAAAACCTTTTGTCTTTTTTTTAATGTTCCTTTTGGTAAGGGCGCCTTTGATCCACCTAACAGCCTTGATTGACTCACCCCCCACTGCTATCGTTGTGAAGCGATTGTTTTACTCAGTTAAAGACAGAAAGTACTTTTTAAGAAGTTCCTTGGGGGCAGCTAGTGTGTAGACTATTTCTCGGGCTGCACATGACGGCGCATCTTTAGAGCTTCCTGGGGGTCCCCTTTATCTTTTTGGTTTTGAAAAAGGGATTGGGTTTAAAGGTGAAGACCACAGGGCCGCCTCCCGCCGCCCGGTCTCGGCCAAAGTTCCTGCTGGTCAAGTTTGAGGCTTGACGATCCACAGGCGCCCCTGGACCTTGCGGACTGACCGCCCCCTCAGTAGCCCCCCAGCAGGTCAGCCAGCGCGACATTTGCCGCTGGACTCCGAGGAGGCTTTGTGGGGAGGGTTGCTCCTGAGCCCAAATCGCCTCGGCCTGAGGCAGAGCCGGCAGCTGCTGGAGAGCACCTCCGTGGCCGGCGCAGGGAGCGGTGGGCGCCTGGCACCGAGCATCACGCACCCGGCACCGGGTAAGGGACGGTCCCCGGTGACGGGACGGGGCGATGGGCTGGGGGGGGGGGGGGGGG